ATTCTTTATTTTCATTAACAATATTGAAACTTCCCTTAAATTTATACATAAGAGGATTTTATCTTTCAAAATCCATAGTCACAAATCTAAGATATTTTATTTCAAAATTACAAATTATAAGGTAACTCTTTCTCATTTAATTATCTGTATAATGTTTGCAATTATGGATGTGCATATTTAGGTTTGAGATTAGTTTCACCATCTAGATTCTTAGTTTCAACAAAACATTCTCCTCCTTTTGAAGTTGCTAATATAATAATATCAGCAGGAATTCTCTACTCTTAAGTTAAAATCAAACCTATTTATTTGCAATCCTTATAATGTCTCCAACATAAACATTTTACCATTTGTCATATTCGAAGACTCCTGTCCGAAGTGAATATTTCTATACAGTTCGATTGTTTTCTTCATCATCTGCTCGGTGTCTAATGGTGATGATTAAGGTACCTTTTAAAGTCTTCAAAAAAATCCTTGATCATGCTGACCATAATAATGAATGAAAGGGGTAAATAAACAGTTGGTTGTCCATCAGTAGTTGTGACTGGAGGTAGGATTTAACTAAATTGAATTCAAACTGATTACAAAATGCCTAAAAGCAAAAAGTACAAATTAGATGCTTTCCTAAATTATTCTAATGAGTTTTTGGGTAAGAATGTGAGCATATTATACTTAGAAGTCTCTACTCTATTATTGGGAATATTTTTATCTGCGGTACCAATCAGAATCTAAGAATTTAAATACTTATTATACTTTTCTGTCTGGTTGTAATTCCCAAGGAGCTCTTCTTTTGCAACAGCAAGTTCTGATTTAGTTTTCATTCTGATGCTTTCTGTACTCAACTATATTCATATATATAATATTAATTGAATATTCTTGTATACAATACACATCCATTTCATTATAATAAAAAGTTAATCAAGAAGGCACTAGTAACTCCAATTCCAAAGCCAAGATGACAATCACTAAAGTAGTGGCAACAGAAATATACTCTACCTAACATTACATTAAGAGTCATAAGTATTGCAATTAAAATAACAACTATGTCTCCTAATATATTTGATATCCAAAATACCATTTCCATAAGCATTTAGAAAGTAAAAAAGAAAGGTTGCAGCTTAAGCACAATCTCCGCTAGGTAAGGAATAATTAGTTTCTTTATTCCTAAAATACATAGGTTTAAGTGATAATTGTGGACGAGGCTTAGGTCTTGGTCTTTTGAAATGTTTTTTAAAGAAAGTAGTCAAAACTAGTGACAGAACTATTGAAATCACATATCTTATTGAATAAGCATAACCGTATTAATAAGTAATGAAGAAAATAGGTGCAGCAATAGTAGTTGGTGAAAAAATCAATGCTGGTAAAAATAGCATCACTGTTAACATTAAACTTTCATGGCCATGAATAATTGCTGATAAGTACACATCCCAGTATAGTAATTTCTCAAAAACTCTTTAAAGTGACATTTCCTTAGTATTCTGATTTTAATTAAATTAATTTAAGAGTATGTTTAAAAATTTCCATTAATCATTATATCTCAATAATTAAATATAAATGAATTAATAGATATCATAAGAATATTTCATTCATAAGTTTGCATCTATCTCATTGAGCGAAAGTACCAAATCTGTTCACCTATGATTAGCTGATGATGACAATTCCAAACAAAGTAGTCCAGCTTTAGATTCTCGATTATTAGAATTTGTAGGGACTCTTCCAGCACACATTAAATAAAAATTAGAAAATTTCAAACCTAACTCAGACTTTTAGGTTTCAAAATAAAGTGATGACAGTGTATACTTTGGCATATTGGAGTTAGGACTCAAAGTAGGAAATGGTATTTAAGTTTGGCCATAGGCTGGAAATTTATTAATTGGGTAACATACAATTTATATATTATAATAGGACATGGTAAAACGATTTGCTTCAAGGAGTTTGTACTATGCATTATAGGAATGGAGATATGTATAAAATATGTAAATAATAAAGTTTTGAAGCTCAGTTCTAAAATGGCCGCACAAATGGTTTTGGTATGTTTAAATCGGAAAAAAAAATAGTTAAAGGTAGAATAAATTCTTATTTTTAGGAATTTGGATCAATAATCAGTTGGAAGGAGAAGCTTAAGAAATTAAGAGTGATGGAACAAGGTTTTATGGTTAATTTCATAACGGCAAGAAAAATGGCAGAGGGATTCAAGTGTTCCCTGATGGATGCAAGTTTTATATTTCTTATATCTATTTGTAGATATGAAGGATCATTTGAAAATAACTAATTTTCAGGTGATGGAATATTTTATTGGAGTGATGGAAGTTATTATCAAGGATAATTTCAGAAGGGTCTGATCATGGGATTCGGTAATTATGTTAATAATAATGGGCTTCAATTAATAGGACAGGTATTGCTGTATGATTATATGTTGTATAGTTCTCTGAAATTAAAAAAACATAAGCGAAGGAGGTTGGTCTCAATAAAAATCTACAGAGCATTATGTACGTAAACCAGTACAATTAAAGTCTTTTAATTGAAAAGATACATCTTCTCTGACTTTATATATATATTTTTTTAATTATATTAATATTATTATTATCATTAGATGGTTAACTAGTATGATATTATTATTAATAAATATATAAAAAAATAAAATTCGTTTTTGGAATTTTTAACACTTAATTATCTGGTGTTGGCTTCATTATTAATTAAAATATATGTATAAATTAGCAGTCTGCACATTGCTTATCCTTAGCGTAACAGCAATTGATGTCACAAACTCAGTTTGGACAAGCCATGACCAAAAAGCTTTTGCTTAAATTAAACAATCTGGTTGGGGTAATTTCATTTTGAACTTTGGTGAACTCCATTTAACTACAGGAGGTATCCTTGCAGAATTAAACACTGAAATTGCTAAACTTGTAATTACTTTTTTGATTAATTCGTTTAGATTGACGAATTAGATGAGGAATTAGCAGAAGTCCATCATCAATATGCAAGAAGAACAGACGTTCACAACAGAGAAGTCAATAGACTTTCATAAGAAATCCAAGATAAAGAAAGAGGTATTTTATTAAATTTATAGATTTCTTTTAGAGGTCTTCAATGCCCACGATTTCTATGATAACGTTTTGATCCCATAAAGAGATAGATTTGCTGCTCAACTTGAATAATTATAAGAAAACATTGCTTAAAACAGAAAGACACTTAATGAGGCAACAGTTCAAAGAGCTAATGATCATGCTGAATTTGAAGCTAAAGTTGCTGAACATAACGAAGCCATCAGTGCTATTGATGAATCATTATAATTACTCAGTTAATTAGAATCACCATCCCTTGTCTAAATCTAAAAGGTCTAAAAGAATTTGACCAAAATTTAATAATCACTCAAAAGACATAGCACATTCTAAACCTTCATCAAGACTCTTTTAGAAATTGCTGTTGAAGCTAACTTTGCTGATCAAGGTGCTCTTAGAGAAGTATTGATACTTTGTTAACTCTTTCATAGATTTTGACTGCCTTCAACAATTTGAGAGTTTAATTAGTTGACTCCCTCAACCAACTCACTGCTGATGAAGCTGAAGCCTAAAAAGACTTTGAAGCAAGAGTCATTCAATTAAACTAAGAACATGCTGAATTCTAAAGAGCTGTTGTAGTTAAGACAGCTGAAATTGAAGCCAATGCAAGTAAATTTTTAATAATAATAAATAATAGACAAGATTGAATAAACTCTTGATTTAATTGATGTCTTACATGCAGATTTGGATACATTGAATGGATAATTATAAGCAGAAAATGATGACTTTGCTTTCGCAACTGACGTTTACAATGCTACCGTTGCTGAATACAACAAGGAATTAAATGCCGCCCACTAAGCCTTAGATTTATTGAACCAACCAAGATTTACCGATTACGTTAAATCTTAACTCAAGGGAGCATTTTGATATTATTCATTCAATAAAAGTAAATGAATTCATTATTAAATTACATTAAAATATTCTTTCTACTTCCAATAATTAAATAAACATTTTTTTGTGATGTCAGAAATAGATCCGATTACAATTAAACTTGTCGTTGTCGGTGATGGAAATGTAGGCAAGACTTGTATACTTCTCAGGTATTTCTATTAAAAATCCATAGCTACACAACAGATAAATTTCCTTAAGATTATGTTCCTACAGTTTTTGAAAATTATACCACATAAACAGCTGTTGATGGCAAGATGATTAATTTAAGTTTATGGGATACTGCAGGATAAGAAACATATAATAGACTAAGAACATTATCCTATAATTCAGCTGATGTCTTTTTAGTTGTCTTCTCTGTTATTGAAGAATCTAGTTTTGAAAATGCAATAATTAAATGGTATCCAGAATTAGAGGCTCCTGAATTAAAATGTGTACCAAAAATATTTGTTGGAAACAAAATAGATATGAGAAATTAAGCAAATCCAAGTCATGTTTAATAAGAAGCTGTAATCATTAATTTAATCAACTCATTAGGCAAAATCAAAAGTTGAAAAATTACAATGTCAATATTTAGAATGTTCTGCATTAACATAAATTGGTTTGAAAGAAATTTTTGACTAAGCAATTAAAAAAGCCATTAAAGTCAAAATCTTAAAGTCATAAAATTAAACCTTGCAAAATGTTACAAGTACTATTTAAAAAGACTAAAAACCTTCAAATGAAGAAAAATGCTGTTGCTCAACCTTTTGATAACATATACAATAACATGCTTTAATTATATATTTATGCAAACAATGAAAACAACTTTAAATTCTATATATATTATATGTTATTTTAATTCATTTCAAGAATTAGGAACTCGGATTTTATTTTTTGATAATTTTAAAAGCCACATGATGAGCTTAATAAACTTCTGGAATCCTTATCACTCTATTAAGCCATGCATTTGTAATTGGATATTTTTAGAAATCAAATTTAATCAAGTCTAATTACATCATTTCGCAACAAGCACTTATATCAGCCAAAGTTGCTTAATCGCCACAAATGTAGTTTCTACCTTTTAGCCAATCTACAAATGTTTTATATAATTACTGTTCTCAAAATATTAAAACACTTTTGCCACATCTTGTTTTTCCTTTTCCAGTACTTCAGGAATTACCTTCTCTCCCTTTATTGGTGATATAAGCACTGAGTGGTACAAGTGTAAACATCTTCTTGTATTTGTGTGATGATAGTCTAGATATTGATCTATTCTAGTTTATTATCTGATGTCTGTAAGTGGGTATCTTATTAATATTAAGAAACTTACAAATTAGTTGATATATTTCTCTATTTGATTATGTATCTCATTATATTGTGACTTTCAGCAACAGTAAAATCTCCATCTTATAATAAAGGCACTAAAGATTTTTTTAATTTGAATACATTATTATAATGGATGAATTGATGTGAATTCAGGTGACTTATGTTCATCAAATTAAATCTTTAAAGCCTTGACTTCATGAGGGACTTTGAGGATATCTAAAACAGCCTTTACAGCTCTAGATGGCTGTGAAATCCAATCTATATATAATTTAATCATGAAAATTGTTATTATTATAATAAGTTTAAAGATCTTTCATTTAGTTATGTATTATTATAATAATAAATAATTTAATTTTATAAAAATTGATCAACTTTAATCTTTTGGACATCTATTATTAATATCAAATCCTATAAAATCAAAAAATTCACTTGAAAAGTATTCATGATTTCCTAATAATTCTCTAAAAAATTCATCTACAAAGGTTATTTTTTCATTTGTTGTTAGATTTAAAATTTATTTTGTAACTTTCAAATTTGGAGGTAATGCTCGACCACTTTATAATTCAAGTTGCTCACTAAATTATCTAATACAAGAAAGTGTTTTCAAGATCCTATAAACATGTTCTGTGCTTCTAACATTATTTATATATATGTTTACTTTTCTTTGTATTTGATGTTGATAACAAATTCTATTGAATTAGATCCATACATCCCATACTCATATTAGACACAATTAGAAGAGAATTGAAGTTCAGAATAATCTAAAGCAACCAAATTTTCTTCAGAATTTACTCTGATAGCTTATAATTCATATTCTTAAGTTTTTTAATAACTTTTAGGTCTTATCTAAGATTTAGTCTTTGAGATCAATTATTAATATATTAAAAATGGTTGTTGCATTTCTTCGTCTACACCTAAGAAGTCAAGTAAATTTTTTGTGATATAGGTTGGATTGGCTAATTATTCTTATAACCATCGTTCTAAATATTCTCTCCTTCTTAAAACATAAGAAAATTCATCTTCACCCAATTATAGATCTATTCTGTGTATTTTAAACGAACTTGCATTGTATTTATTAAAGTGGTCAATTTGTACTCTCTCAATATTTAAAAATTCAGGGTAACGCTTTTCTGATTAAAAAGTATGTCCTTCGATTATAGTAATAATCATATATGAATAAAGAATTTCATTGTCATTAACAAAACGTTTAATTACTTTTTTACTTACACTCACACTCCTTTCTGGCATTTTTTCTCTTAAGAATTGTTCTTATTCATTTTGATTTTTGCTTTATATGAGATCAGAAAATGCTGATGATAATTATTTTGATATAGTAGTATTTTCTTTCTTTGCTTTAGTCCTGTTTAACATAGATTCTCTATTTGAATTATTTTCTGATTAAAATATTTTGAATTCTTCTAATTATTTCATCAATTATTTTGCAAATTTTGGTGTATCATCTGGTATTCTTGTTCGATCATTCGGTCTATACAAGGCATATATCAATAAAATCAATGATGGGAACAATTACAAAATTATTAATCCACTACTCAAAAGAGTTTGATATTCTTAAGTTGTTCTGACCACCAAAAATGCAGTCTATAAAGGCCAAAATATCTATTTGATAGTTGATAAACTATTACTCTATGAGTCCAAGTTGCCTATTATTCTTAAACCTTAAACTCTAATTTTAGCAAAATAACAGAAATAATATGAGCAACAATTGGTATCAACCAAATGAAGTATAATTTTGGTGATATTGTCATAATTAGACCAAAAAATCCCAATGTCATTGATACAGTACATACCAAACAAAGCCAATATGATATGATAATTTTGATATTCAAAGATGGAGGATTGGTTTTGGGACTAATTTAAATTAATTTAATAATTACATATCCTCATCACTTAATTGAGATCGTATGGATTATCTTTGTAGTGTAACTGCTTGTAGTTTTTAAAGCTAATAAATCCTATAAAGAGCAGCAAATATAAAATATAAATAGGGAAGGCTGAATAAAATAAACTCTTTTGCCAAAATTGAATAAGTGTAAATTGGATTTGAAGCAGGAGGATCATTTGATTGTTCTGTTTTATTATCTTAATTTGTAGGTTGATCTTTATTTTAATCAATTAATGGATCGATCATTGGAATGGTTTCAGTTATCGGGGGGTTTTCAGCAATAGGTTATTCTATTGGCTCATTTTGAGTTGAAGTCTCATCCTGTTATTCATTCAATTCTTGTGATTAACCCTAAGTTACGACATCATTTTATTAATCCATTTAATTAATAGTATATCTATAACATTATAAAAACTATAATTAAATTATTCCATTTACTAATAATTTAGAAATACTGTGAAACAAATTATTAAATTAGACTTTATTAATTAATCCTAAATATTAATAAAGAAAAAAGAATTTGCTTCTATTACGAAGAGATAATAAAAATATTTTAATTGGAATAAAAATATTATCATGAAGAAGATCTTTCTAATAAGTACACTTTGACGTTTTTGAGTTTAGTTGCCAATATTTCTTCAATTTATCTAATTATTGAAATTTCTTATTATCTATGTTCAGTATCAGCAGCATATTAAGTTCTCCATCCATCACATTCACCTTCTTTTTATTCTTTACCTGAAGTGGCAGCATTTAATTCATCAGTAGCATCTTCTTTTCTCTTTTTTTAGAGATCTAATGCTTATTCATTATCTTTTAATTGTCTTTCAGAATCTTCTCTAGCTGATGACAATGATTCTCTTTAACTTTCTATTTCAACCATTAATCTTTCATAATCTAATTAAGCTTATATTTCAGATTATCTGGCATCATGTAGACTTTATTCCAAAGATGCACTCACTTCACTCAATTTATTTAAAACATTGTTTAATTGATCTTTTGAGAATGTTGATGCAACTTACATTAATGCTAAAATTGGATTTGATGCACCAATTTAATTTAATTATGTTAAAATTTAAACTACTTCTTATTCAGGTTAAATTGAGGATAATTTGGTAAAAATAACTTCAATAGCTTCTATCACATTTTCAGTTTCATGTTCAAATTTTATAAAATCGTCAGCTGTCATTAGCTCTTTATTCAGTTAATTATGTTTCTTATTCATTTAAAATATCAAGTTAAATTTTTTTGTTATCAACATCTTAAGCCAATTATTCGACTTTTGAAGTTAATGTTGCTATTTCTGTTGTAGAATCTGTTATTTCAGCAGAAGCATAATCAATTCTTCTATTGTATTAGTAAATTTCTGTTTCACAATCAACTTCATCTTAAGCATGCTTTTAATCGGCTTCTTATTAATTAAGAATTAGATTTTCCCTTAATTATTAAAGCATCTTTGCAATATCTGACAATGGGGCTTTGTTGTTTAATTAAAGGGCTATTGTGTCTAATAGTTTTTTGCCTAATTCATGCTCTTCCATAGCTTCAAGTTAAGTAAAAACAGCCTTTGTAGGATCGTTTGATCTTTTAACAAAAACTGATTGTGTTATGCTTAATACAACCAAAATCAATATGACTTTATTCATTTACTAATGGAAAATTGCAAATTCGTTTTTTGTTTTCAATCTATTGATCTGTTAATTCACTTTTATTTTACTAAAATGTTTTATAGAATGATTTCTTTCTTAACATTATTAATTCTGCCAATAAATTATTATTTAATTAAATTATTAAGAGTATAATAATAAATATTCTTATTCTATTCATGGTCATTATTTAAGTGTTATATAATAATAAATTCTTAAACATTTCTTTATGATTATGTTAAAATCAACACTAATTTTTAACAATTAAACTAATTAAAAAAAATAACATTTTTATACCCTTTCTTTAAATATTCATCATTATTAATAAGGTTTTTTTTAATAGTACTTCTTTCTTGATGTTTTCAAAAAAGCTTGAAGAATTTAAATATTTTGATTTTCATTTAATTGCATTTTGGTAATAATCTCTTCTCAATTTCCAATCAAAGTATTTAAATAAAATATTTTATTTTTTCCATCCATTCTTTGATTTAAATAAAGGTAATTTTGATTAATCCTGTTAGATAAGGAGAATTATATAATTATGTTGATTAGATGTTTATATTATTTTTTTGTTATTATAATACTATTTATAACAAGTCTTTTTATCATTATAATTAATTAATTATTATGAGAAAAAAACCTAGTTCTCCTTACGCTGAATTAATTGAAGCTAATAAAAAGATTTTGTAAGAAGATGGAAAATATTTGGATTATTCAAACATACCTATACCTTATAGTTAATCATTTTAACAACTTACTTAATTTCGTATCCCATAATATTTTGAGTTATTACATCGTAAGAATTAAAAGAAAACTGAAATTCATCAAGAATTCAATTAACCTAATGTCAACCAAAACAATAATTAGGCTGAGCGTATTATTGTTAATATTTTTAGCTAATCTAAAAAGATAACAATAGAAATTGATAAAACGAAAGCCTTTTTCTATGAGCAGGTTTTAAACTGCATAATTAGAGAGGTATATAGTATAAAGAAAAAAGTAATTAGATCTCATCAGGTTCTTTTAATAGAGCAAATTATACTCTCAATAAGATTTTAAGCAGTCTTCCTATGAGCCAGTTACATTAAATACATGAGGCAAAACAGGAAAATATCCAGACTTTAATTTAAAAAAGAAGGAATAAACAGATGAGAATGGTTACTCCTAAATTTAATCTTAGAACAGACTCTTAAATGGCAAAATTTTTTGGGTCATCAAGTATTGTATTATATATACTATTAAGATATTTTCCCTACTTTATCTACATTTAGATTAAAAACCCTTTAATGATTTATAAGTTGACGTTTTAATTAAAAATCTTATTTAATTCTTAAACATCTTTGAAATTATTAACTAATTATTGAATTATGGATTATAAATAGACTGCTGACATAATAAGGTTAGAATATTTTCAAATTAAAAAATAATTTAGCTAATAAATTCATTTATGTTTTTTATGCTAAGGTCTACTTTCGCTGCTACTGCTACTACTTTAGCTACTGCTAACGCTTGCACTTCTACTTCTGCTTCTACTTCTACTATCACTTAAACTTTCACTTTGACTAGGACTAGGACTTGGACTTTTATTTTTTTTTTTCTGATCCTTTTTTTCTTTTTCTTTTTATTTTTTTTCCTTCTCCCTTTCTCTTTCTCTTTCTCTCTCCTTTTCTCGTTTTCTTTCTTTTTCTTTTTCTTTTTACTTTTCTCTTTCTCTTTCCTTTTATTTTTCTCTTTCTCTTTCTCTTTCCTTCTCTCTTTCTCTTTCCTTCTCTCTCTCTCTTTCTTTTTCTTTTTCTTTTTCTCTTTCTCTTTCTTTCTCCCTTTCTCTTTCCCTCTCTTTTTCTCTTTCCTTCTCTTTTTCTTTTTCTCTTTCTCTTTCTTTCTCCTTTTCTCTTTCTTTTTCCTTTTCTCTTTACTTCTCCTTTTCTTTTAATTTTCCTCTTTCCTTTTCTTTTGGTTTTTCTTTAGCACTATTAATTGGAGCTTTATTATCTTCATCTTCCTTTTTTTTTTTATCTTGTTGAGTCTTTTTTTATTTATTCTTTGATGAATCACTGTCACTGCTATCATCTGAAGATGAATCTTCACTACTATCGCTTTCATCACTCTCACTATCTTCTTCAGCAGAAGTTCCAAATTATTTTAAAGCCTATAAATTAAATATTTCAATTACTTCTTGAGCATGCTAAAATTCTATTTTGTTTTACTATTCATATATCTATCTCAACTCTTCTGTTAATAAACCTTATCCAATACTAGTGAAAAAGTTAATAGAAAATCTTGTATTTTTTGGATGATCAACTGGGAATAGACCTGCAAGATAATCTTTGAGTTCTGGATCCATCAATTTTGATTTTAATACAGGTAAACTCATATTTTCAGCTAATTCCAAGAATAAGCATTTAATCATAATTCTACCTGATGAGGTAGTACTTTCTTAAGTCAATGATATACATTTTAAGATTCTCCAATCAATAGCATTTGTAAAAAAGAGATGAGCAAAGAATTTACTAATGTTTCTAATTTTTGCAGTTTCATAACGATGCATGGTAGCATACTTCTCTACAAAACATTTCATAAAATTATCTCTGAAGATTTCAGCGATTTCACATAATCTCTATCCCAAAAGTCCAAAAAACCTTAAATATGTTCTTTCTTGCATACAACAATCAATAATCATATTACAAACTTCATCTTCATGACCAATCCCTGTTTACATTTTAATTATTTTATGCAAACATTCTTCATAATCTACACTACTTTAGATTGTTAAATATATAACTCTTTTTAAACTTAAAAGATCTCTTTCTGTAAAATCTTTAGCTTATTCTTATTCCTCCTCTATCTCAGGCATAAAATCAACTTATTATTTAGTTTTTAACATAATAATGTTTTCTTCACCTAAGATTTCTTTTTTGATTTCTTCCCATTCATTCTCTGTTTTTTCAAAAAATGGATCATACTAAAATAAATTTAGATTATCCTCTGCATCTAATTCATCAACTATATCTATTTGATGTGTAATTTAATCATCTTCTTCAACTAAATCTAAGTCAGGAATAACTCCTGGATGATCAACAAATTTAGTTTTTCGAGTTGCAAATAATTACTCAATTCTGTACTAAACTTTTCTACTTATAGTTCCTTCATGCAATATTCCCTTAAATCTTTCAAATATTGTGGAAACATTCTATGGAGCAATATCACTCATAACTTATCCACATTCTATTGTAAAATCACATGCTAATTCTACAGAATCTTCAGTGGGACTCTCTAAAAGAATATATAATAATTCTAATCCAACTAAGTCACTTAAAACTTTTTAATTTATTAGATGGGCAATCATTTTTGTAATTGCCATACATACTATTTTATTATTTCTTTTGTAAGCTCTTTAAAATTACACAATCACTCTTCTGATTATCAAATTAACTATCTCTGGTAATTTAGTATTGATAACAGAAATTAAAGCAGCATAAACCATTGTAAAATTAGGTGATGCCATTTATGCTTTTATAATTGCTCTTGCCAATAATCCTCTACCTCTTAAAATATTTTCATTAAATAATTCAACAATGATATTTTAAATATTTGTAATATTCACCTTATTGATAATACCATTTATTGATTTTCTTAACAATTCCCACATTAATCTTTGGTATTCAACGCTATTTTTATTACTCATTTTTATTTCGTTTTCCATTTCCCTCAACTTATGTGGAGGTACATATACACCACCTGCTCTTGTAGGTCTATCAAACTTTTTTTGAGTTATAGGATCAATTTGAACAATTTTTTTTGCAGCTTCTTCCATTTGCATCTTTTCGTTTTCCCTTTTTTCATTATATTTTATCATAAGGAAGTTTTCTTCCTCTCTTAATGATTGTATATAATCATTTTAAGTTCCATCTTGTTAAGGCTATTCAGACATTAAGCAAAATCACAAAATAATATATTTAAATTTTCTTTGCATTAATTCTTTTTATTTCCCAATTTTACATCCTTTTTGAAAAATCTTTAAAAGAATATCAATTATAATTACTCAAATCTGATAAACATCAAATTTATTGATAAGAAAAAACAAATGTTAATAATTATTATAACTTAATCTAAGATATAAATATCTATAAATTTGATTCATTATTTCATCTTTACATATATCCTAGACGACTTTCTCTACTTAATCAATTTATTTATATTTATTAAAATGGACAATGAGTTTGTCTCTTTATAATCAATTTGAATTAGTGAAAATAGTAAATGATTTATATAGGTTGAATTCTAAGTAATTCTGTAATGAAAAGGTTAGTTTCATGGAGAACAAAGGAAGTCATTTAATTCTTTAATTGAAATAATTTCAAACTTTCTAAAAGTTACTTTATTTAGTTTGCTTTACTTTGATTTGTTTTTAATTTAATATTCTCCACTTTATTATTTAATAAATGAATTACTATTTATTATAATGCCTAAATTTCAGCCACTTATTCTAAAAAGAAACTAAATTACTTTAACTTGAAAGTTTGGGCTATATGAAGAAACTTAATTAAAGGAAAAATTTAGGTTTTGAATAGTTTGTATTAGAAAATTTTATGGTTCCCAGAATAGAATATGTTCAATCAGAATAATTATAAAGAGTTTTGATTGCAAGAATGCTGTTAGATCTTAATGAAATTACTAATACTCTTATGAATGGAAAAAGCATAGATAAAATGAAAAAGTATAAGCTATTTTATTAAAAATATCAAATTTCGAATTCAGTTATGGAATTGTGGTTAAAATGGGCTATCTTAAAAAATAAATAGCTTAAATAAAAATCGATGAAGAAACAATTGTATTATTTTGATTAAGTAATACTCCCTCAACTCTCATAATTTAAAAATACTTTAATAAGACTGAAATTTTTAATATTTTAAGCTTACCAAACCTATTTAATGGGAGAAGAATAGCAATCTATTCATTTTTTAATGAATATTAAACACGAATATTATACAATGTATAATCTTAAATCATTTGTAACTGAAATGCATTTGTTAAATGCTTAAGAGAATGTTGTATATTTGTCTCCAAAATTGATAGATTCAGTTAAAGCATGTGCAAATATGCCTAAAGAGGATTTCTTTTAATTTATTTATTTTGAGATTAAATTATTATATCCTATCAGTAGAGGAATAGCTCCAAGCTTAGCTGAAAATTTATTTAATGAGATTTAGATATTACTGTAAATGTCTCAGCAATTTTATAAGAAACCTTAATAATCAATTGATTAATAATTAGCTAAGAAATATGATCAAGTTTTAGAAATGATGGATAAATATTATGAAAAGTTAGGGAAAGGATTATTTAAAAGAAAAATTTTTAGATTTGATTAAAAACCTAATCATAAGGTAGCTAGATCATTAATTAGCTTTTTGTCTTCAGAGGAAAATTTGAAATAATCTTCTACATTTAAAAGAGACACTCATTATGAGTCTATTTCAAGTTTATATAATGCTTAACAAATTTAATAGATTTAACTAGATTTAACTAAGTAATCAGAGAGGGTGGTTAAATCTACTTTTCACAGTAGATAAGCTTCAGTAAGCCGACCACCTAGTTAGTTTTAACCTGAATCTATACTTAGCAAAGAAATGTGGTTGGAAGTAGATAATTATAAGATTAAATCTTTTTAAAAGCGAAAGCCATTACATTAAAAACCTTCAGTTGGGAAGATTTATAAAAATATTATTACTTCTGTTCCTATGACTAAGAGACATAGTAAATAAGAGGAATTTTCTCCACTAAGAAAATAAGAAATCATCTAAGAAGTATTAGATAGCAAATTAACATCTAAAGAACCAACAAAATTTATGTCTTAAGCTTTGTCTACACCAAAACCAAAAATTAGCATCATGAGTTTAGTTGTTCTATTTAATTTAAGATATTTTCATTTAGAATCACCTGGAGGAAAAAAATTACCAAAACTAATTACAAAACACTTTTTAAAAATATTAACATATGTTGATGATCCACCTTATTAAATTGTGAGTGATAGATAATTATAAATAAAAGAATTAATAAAGAAAACAAAAAGAAGATCTAAATTTACAAAATAAAATTCATTTGCAATTAAACCAAGATTAGGGCTAAAATCCTAGTTTGTATAACTTAAAGCAAATTTTAGTGAAAGAGTCAGAACAAATATCAATAAAATTAAATCCTTGATACGAATGGGAGTATTTAAAAAAAAGCGTTAATAAGAGAAATAATAAACAGTTCTTGGTCCTGTGTAATCAAAACCTTAGTCCATAACAAATTTTTTGGATTTTAATAGATTTAAAACTGCTCCTGATATGGTTGGTAATCATATTGATAAGTTAGCAAATGCTCAAAGTTAACCAACACCAAGAGGAGAATTTGATGATAAAAAAGACTCTTAGAAAGAATTAATAAAAGGGAAAGGATTTGGTTTTTTTAAAGCTATATGCTTGGCTAAAAAATTAAGTTTAATAAATTATAATACAGATGATATCACTTATCTTTAAGAAAAGTATGGAACTTTATAATAAGTAAAATAATAGCATTTATATTATCCAACTTTAAAATATAAACTTCTGTTTTAGAATAAAATTTAAATTTGGAAAATTAAATATAAAGATTTGACAGCAGATAAAAATTTTATAGTTTTATATGCATCATAAGAAGGTAATTCTTATAATTTTTATCGTTTTGATCTTCCAGTTGTTTCAAAAGGAAGAGAAAAAATAGGAGTCACAATCTGGCCTACAGTTGCTGAGGCATTGAGAGAGTTGGATAAATTTAAATAATATTCATAAATCTTTAATTTTGATCTTTCAAACAATATTAAAAAAGACAAGCATTCATTTATATCAGGTCTTACTTAAAGAGCAAAAGTTAAAATTACTAATGAAGATATTAATAGTTGTGCTTATGTTCAAAGTTATCTTTCCTAATTTCATTAATCATAAATAAGCAAAATAAAGAAGATTTGTGGTTATGCATATGAAATTCTACCAAACATTAATTACACAACAGTAAAATACATCAACATGAATTTGATTAACAAGATAATCTCTTATGAATATCATATTAAAAGAATTGAAAAAATTAATTTTCACAATAGATAATTAAATGTAATTGATAACATAACAGATAAGGAATTACAGGAATACTTAGTAAATAAATAGAAAATAAAAAATAGTATTTTGTTGTTTAGGTTTATTTGTACTTCTAGATAATTTATGATAGATGGAGGACCATCAGTTAATCTAAAAGGTTATTCATAAAAGATTTTTTCAACAGTCATTAAATTATCTAAAGATATGTATAAATCTGATTTTAAGAAATGCTTTTAGAAATTTGTATTGCTAACACTAGAAATAGAAATATCTAGAGATTTAAAATATCATTTAAATGATTTACTAAGTCCAGAAGGGAAGAAAAGCAACTCGTTTAATATTCCTTAAGTATTTGGATAACAAATAAATAAATAATATTTTGAATTGAAAGTGTCTTCAACTTTGTTTAATAAGGAAAAAGCTGTTGATAATATTAAAAGTAACTTATTTATAGAACCTTATTCTCTATAAATTTCATTATTTCATTAATTATTAGAATATATTGAGAAAGATCCATAACAATTATAGCATATTAGATTTGAATCATTAATTCATAATCTGCTCTTTTAATCAGATTATTCAAATACTTAAAAGGAATTATTGAGTCTATTTTTGTTTACTTACTTTGACATTGACTTAATTTAAAATAAAGTTATTTTGAAGAATGATAATCAATTGAAAACTAAAAAAATGTCTTTAAAATTGATATAAAAAGAAGAGAAAACCATATAATTATATGCTATATCTCCTATTGAATAATAATTTGTCAAACATACTAAAATTATTAATGAGAAAGAATAAAACTTAGAATAATTATTTAAAATTAGCATTGTAACTTAAATTTAATAGTATGATGATATATATCAAGGAAAATAAATAATAGAAGAACCAGATTTTATGGCTAATAATTAGGAAATATTATAAGCAATTAATATGATAAAGCAAATTCCACTCTATAGAATTTATGAAAAAGGTAGTCTTAAATAATTTTCTAAGATTAAACAACACTTAAATTATAAAATAAACGAATTTTTAATCAGAGACAGTAAACCTCCTATATATATATAATAATCTCATTATGTTAATTGCCAATTACCTTCTGCAATAAAATTAAAAACTTTGATATTGAGTAAACATAAAGATCTTACAAATCATTTTAATTCTAATCATTACAGATTCTTTATTAATAGAAATTAATAATTTATTGTACATACATCAATATATTACAGTTTTAATAAAAAATTAGATAATTTTAATTTTGATCAGAAAGGAAATGAACGAATATACTATTTTGATGGTGAAATGCTTTATGTAAATTTATAATTAGAATTATTATCATCTAGAACTTCTTCATTTAAAATGATATTTTCTCATTAGGATTTGATTGAGTTATTCAAAATTAACATTGAATAATATTAATCAATTTATTATTTTGATGATAAATTTATTTAGAAGATGACTATGATTATTTTGAATAATACTTATACCGAAAGAAAATTTAGATATTAATTACCAACCTTTCTTCATAGATACTTTTTATCAAAAAAGACTAGATAAACTTTTATTGACTATTAAAGAAGCATCTCTATAAGTGGTGATTCACCTAAATCTCCAAAAGGAAACGTCATTTAAATTAATAACTTAAATCTATTGGAAAGACATAATAATTGTTAGTTTGTGAAATTATTTTATGATTCGAAAGAGTAAGTTTCTAAGAATTATTGTGAAACATATTTAAAAGAAGCCAGAGTTATCGGCCATTTTATCAAAAAGTTTCAAGTTAGTGTAAAAAACTCTTAATTATGTAATTTAAAGAACGGACCTGCAGAATACGGTGTTGTTACAGTTTATAGTCATTTAATTATAGATGTTTGGATTATTTAAATATATGTTCCAAAGACAAGTAGATATCTACTTGGAACAATTAATTTTCTAGATTTAGCTAGTTTGGAAACTTAAGAAATGTTTTCAATTTTATTTGAGTAAACTAAAATTTAAAGAAAATCTGTTTACCTGAGAAAGTTTACAACTAATAAATTAATTATGAATAAATAACAAACTTTTATAAATCTACATAAATTTTTTGAATTTACTAGAGAACTTAATAATAGTTTAAATAGAAGATTGATACTTCAGTAATTATTGTAAAATAAAAGTAAAACTAATAACAAGTAAGATAAAATGAGAGTAGAGTTGAATGTTTGGACCTAACTTATTAAATTATTGAAATTAAGTTTAAAAGATCCCTTCAATATAAGAATTGAAAGCGAAGCATAAAATAAAAATTATTTAGAGAAAAGTTTGATAGAATAACTTGAATAAGATACAAATGCTACAGTTAATTCATTTAAGCAAATAGGAAAAAATTATATTCAAAAGAAAAAAAATGAATCTATGGAAAACCAAGAACTTTTAAATCATTTTAAAAGCTTATCAAGTAATTATTAAGCATTGCTAAAAGATAAATAAGTTATAACAATTAAATCATAATTTTAAGATAGTTCTTAAATTTGTCTTGATTTTGGATTTAAAGCTAATCTCAAAGAATTTATACATAAAATGCAACTAAAGATCGATAAAATTGGGCTATACACAATTTAGTTCTTTTTAGATTATATGAGTTTAGATATTGGAAGGGATAATCCTTTTGTTGCTTTTGAATCTATAAATTATGCTAATTCATCAATGTTTAATCTTTCAATAAGAGTTTTAGGTTTTTAAAGCGAATCACCAATATTTTATTGTCAAAAACAAATAAATTTAAGAGAAATCCTTAATTTATTCATAGCTGATGGCTATTTTAAATATTAGACTAACTACATGAATGCAAAATTATCTTTAAGTGATTTAAAATAAATATGTGAATATATTGGATTTAAAGTAAAATCACAAAACTTTTTAGGCCTTGCTAATCAATAAAAATATATCAATAACAATCCAATATTTTTAGAGGAAACTAAATAAGAATAGGAAAATACAGATGGAATGACTTTTATGGCTTATAAAAAAAGCAAATTAATTATTTTATAGCTTTTCTAAGAACATTAAAAAGTCCATATTAACTATTAACAAATAAGAGGGAAAATAGAATTAAGACAAACAAAAATGTACTTTACAGAGATAGAAGATTAATGCCCTCATTTTGGATTTTTTGTGAATAATGGATTATAGAAATAAGCTTTATAAAGATTCATGTCTACTTTATGATTATTATTATTTAAATTTATGTAAATATTATCTCAAATAGCTCTAACAGCCAATTAAGTAACACCACAAGTATCTCCTGCTTACAAGAACATAAAACCATTTTGTCCCCAACTAGTTGCCCATGAGTTCTTGATAATCCAATTACCTGAAGCATCATAACCTACAGCCATAACTGCATGATTGATATTCTTGTTGCAATTACTGAAGATTCCTTATTTATAACCGCTCCAATTTGAGGCATCAACACAGACTGAAATTGGATATTATTTAATTGCTGCTTATAGGCCTGTTTTTGCAATATTTTAAACACCTGAGATTTTGGTTGTTCCTGTTGCTGTTTTACAAGCTTAATTTTTAGCAGCATAGGGATAACTTGATTCGGTTGTTGAACCATTAGCTTAAATATACTTGAGAGCTTTATCAGGGTAACCTCCATTGCATCCACTGCTTGCTTTATCACAATCAACCAATTATTATTCGGATAAATTGTGATTTTCTCCTTTTGTGACTTTCAAGAATGCCTCTACTGCACCAATTGCAGAAAAGGCCCAACAAGAACCACAGGTACCTTGGTCCTTTACACGAACTTAAGATCTCCAATCGACTGAGTCATTTGGTTGAACACCTTCTTGAACTACTTCTTCATCTGATGGTTACCATCCCTCAGGTGGAGTATAGGTCAAATAGATGGAAGCGAATTCATCTTAAGTCAAATCAGTAAATTAATTAACTCCAACTGTGTATGTCTATGTTGGGTCGGCATTGTGAGCTAAAATTTTTGCAAAGTTCTATTCAAAGATAGCTCTTCTGTATGCTTCCTCAACATATGCATAGGATTTAGAATATGAAATTTTAAATTGTTTAAAGACCATTGAAACTTCGTCGACTGGTTATTGATTTTGAATATAGCCTATAGTGCTTAAAAGGAGTGTCAATCCTGCCACTAATAATGTTTTTTACATAAAAATTATTAAAGCATCTCAATTCTTGATTCACTCCTTTTTAAACTCTATGATGATGACATTAAATAAAGACTTGATGATGTCATTGTAATTGATATAATTTTAAGCTATTTATATATTAAAAAAATTTGAACCATCTTTTTGTAAGATATTATCATGTAAATCCTACTTTTATTTCCTATGCCCTCTTCTTATCTATTCAAAGTTGGATTTGCTACAAAAATTAAGTTAATAAATTCATGAAAAAATGATCTTTCTATATTTTCTTTTAATAGAAGCAGATAATGCGCATTAATAGAAAGCTTACAATTAAAGAAATTTTATTAGAGATCAATAGATTACTTGAATATATAGTGTCTTATTCAAAGAATTTGTTTATTATCAAAGATATAGTTTATATGACGTCTAAACATATTGCTAGTAATCAAGTTTTAGAGGATATTATAGTGTTGATTCAAAGTTGTTTTACTTCAAGAAATAATCAATAATATATTAAAATTAGAATATCCCTCCTTAGAACGTACCATTATATAATAATTATTTTTTTAAAACATTTAAAAAAGGAATAATGGCATCAATTATAAAATAATTAGAATTACAGTTACATACATATATTTTGGTACAAAGAACATAAACTTTATATAAACAATTATGTATTATAATGATATATTCTAAGAGATTTGCAAATAAACTAATATAGATTATAAAAAAATTATTGATCATTAATTACAAGAAATTATACAAACAGGTTAAAGTATTTACAAGATAAAATGATAAATTGTTATTTGAAAATAACATTATTATTTCCCATAAAAATTGGTAACCTTGTTTTACCTATCATTAGCAGCAAAAATATTATATAAATTCAGTTATAAATAAAATTGCTAAATTTTTTTTATTTAAAATATCATACATTATGTTAAAGATCTTTGAGCCGAAACATATAAATTTATTTTTATTTCAAAAATGACCAAATTTTATTTCTCACAGATTTATGAATTGCTATTTAAATTTAGAATCTTTTCTTATTATAAATATTAATTATAATGTAAATATGAATTAGATTTCAAATTTTATATATATTATAAGTTAAATAACTAACAAAAATTATGCTTGTTAGAAGTAGTTTATCTCCAAGAAGAAAATGTTTCACACCATCAATGTGGGAAGGCAGACAGCAATAAACTATAAGAAGAAGTTAAAATCGTTATTTGAAAACTGAAGATGTTGATCACAGGAATGTTCAATCTAGAAATGATGATTCAAAAAGAAAATCAGGAAGTATCGTCAATAATAAGAAAAATAAGTCAATGACAAATCATAAGGCCTCGTTAAATAGTTCTTTTAATACAAAAAACCTAAAGACGATTTAGTTATCAACAAGAAAATCATCATTACAGAAGTATAAACAATCAATATTAAATTTAGTAAATTACATCCTAATAGCACAACAAGCGAACACCATGTTCATCAATATTTCTCATAGTCTCCTGCGAAAAGAATATTAAATTGTGAAAAGCTAATAAAGGCATAGAAATTTTCAGAGGCTCTAAAAGATTTAGAGGAAATTGATTAACCTCATATAAATCCAGAATACATAAAGGAAATTGCTTACTTTAAAGGTTTAATTCATATGAATTGTCGGCAATATGATTAAGCAATTAATTAGTTTTCAAGGGCAAAACAATCAGGGGATTTAAATGGAAATACTGTCATTTTATAAGCATTATGTTTAAAAAAAATTGGGAACTACAGTGATGCAATAGTTGTATTAAAAGAATTTTTATCTAAAAAATATTCAAAATTATAACCAACTTATTATGATGCATTAATTCATAAAGGAAAATTATTAATGAAAATAAAAAAATTGTAATTAGCTTTACAAGATTTCAATTAGGCAAGTGTTCTAGAGAATGATTAAATATCATTTTAAGGTACTTTAGGAAGAGCAGATTGCTTAAGATTGAGTGGTAAAATTGCTGAGGCATTGAATGTTTATGAAACTATTCCAGAGAATGAAATAATTTTAATGAGAAAAATATATTGTTATATTGAGTTATAGTCCTTAGATAGGGCAATGGAAGCTATCAATTTAATTTTAATTAATGACCCAAATAGTTCAGAGGCACTTTTCATGAAAGGCTAAATTTATATCAATAAAGGATAATTAAATGAAGCTATTTTGAGCTTTGAATAATCAATTAAATAAAATAATAGCAGAAAAGCTGTCACAAAATCTTTGTAAGAAATAGCCAAAATTAAAATTGATCAAAAAGATTTCTATTCTGCTTATTATACTTTGCAAAGAGAAGATCATTTAGAGGTAGATAAAGAATCAATTATGAAATTAAGATAGTTTACAGAAGGAGTGATATTTTTAATGAAAAGAAAATATTAAGATGGTGTAAATGTATTTACATAATTAATTAATAATTATTAATTGGGAGAGTTCATCAAAAAGATTATTTTTCTTTATAGAGCTTATGGTAATGTTATTAAATATTTTAGGTTTTATTTGTTTAAATAAATTCTAAAAGGCATTAAACGACTTGATTTATGTTCAAAATTTTTAAGAATTAGATCAGCCATCATTATATAATAAGATCATTTGTGAAGGAATTGTAATGTCTTAATCAAGCCAATTTGAAAAAGCATAATCATAATTTCAAAAAGCCTCAAAGTTGTTTCCTGGTAAAATGGAGCCACATTTTTATAAGTCCTTAACACTTATATAATTTATCAACAAACATATGCCAAAAGACAAAGATAAATATATAAAGAATGCGTTAAAACATTTAGATAAAGCAGTAACTCTAAACGATTAGAATTCTAACCTTCTTTATCATAGAGGCATTTTAAGATTTTATTTTGGATAAATAGATTTGGCATTATCTGATTTAACAAAAGCAGTTGAAAAAAATGAAGATCGAGTGGCTAAATATGTTTATGCAAGAGGATTAGTAAGGGCCTGTTTGGACAATCCTCAATAAGCTCTAAATGATTTCACTATTGTTATCAATTGGGACTCAAAATTTGCTGAAGCGTATTTAAATAGAGCCAAAGTATTTACATTGTTAGGAGATAGAACTGCTGCATTTAATGATTTACAAACTTACATTTCTCTTAAGCCTAAAGATCCTGATATTCATTTGTGGGCAGGAAATTTATTATTTTTAATCGGAGCTTACGAGCATGCTATAAAAACATATTCTCATTCTCCAGATATTCAAAATAATGTTTAATTATTAAGGTACAGAGCTCTATGTTATATAATTTAAAAAGAATTAAATTACGCAATGTCAGATTTAAATCGAATAATAGAATTGACTGGAGATAAAAAAAGCTATATTGATAAAGAATGCTTGTTAGCTTTGAAAACATCAACTGTAGGTCCAGAAGAATCCTAATCGATGATGATTCTGAAATTATCACAAGGATCAAATAAATAAGTCAATTTCAGATTAGCATCTTAGATGCTTAAGAAGTTGATTGTTTTAGGTTCAGATGGCCATGTATTTTTAACATCGGATCTAATATTTTATAGAGGAATAATGAAATTTTACTTAGGTAACTATAAAAAAGCTATGGATTTATGGACAAAATCATATGGGTTAAAATAATAAATAAAAGAATTTAGTCAATAGTCTAATAATTCGTTAATTTCATAGTAAGAACAATAAGAGAGATTAATTAGTGAATTAGATGAGTTGGAATTTGAGGATAGAACATATAATATGTATGAATACTATTACAATGTTGCTATTGCTACAATATTAGTAATATATATATTTTATCTAAGAATAAATAAAAAAGAAAAGGAAAAGAGTTATTGAATTAATTAGCCGATCAACTTTAGGAATCATTTGAAACTACAATTCGAGATTTTCTTGCAGCATTAGACTCAACTTAAACTAAAAGTGCAACCATTTTTCCCTATTCAAATAGATTATGCTGCATTTTCCCAACTTTTAAAATTGGGAATTTAGAAACCAGACTTTCCTTTTGTTTGCCTAGAATAACTCCTCCATCTATGAATCCAGAATTTGATAATAAATTAATTGAAGGAATTCAAGTAATTCTAATTATTCGATTACAATAGTATAGTCTACAGACGTGGACAACAAACCGGAGGCACCATGGATTAGAAGAAATCCTGATGGAGTGATATTTACAGAAAATGTACAATAGGTTGAATTAGATTTAAGAAGCGAAAGCTAGAAATCATAAATTGATCACAATTAAGAAGAAGAAAATGATGATGACAATTCAGAATAGTAATTTTATTAATCCTATATCTAGACATTAAATTTCCATTAATGATGATAAAATCACTATAGAATAACGACATTAGGATGATTCAACAACATATCAAACTAACTATAAAAAAGATATTGAATTACTTAAGTAATAACTGAGACTTGATAGAATTGTTGAACAACGATTAGCAAAATTAAAATGAAACCTATATATATCATATATCAATTTATATTTAAGATATGTTAAGTTGATTATAACGATCCCTGATATCCTACATAGAATCAAATATAAAGAATATGAATACATAAAGGAAGTATATTTGAGGAGATAAANAGAGCTCTATGTTATATAATTTAAAAAGAATTAAATTACGCAATGTCAGATTTAAATCGAATAATAGAATTGACTGGAGATAAAAAAAGCTATATTGATAAAGAATGCTTGTTAGCCTTGAAAACATCAACTGTAGGTCCAGAAGAATCCTAATCGATGATGATTCTGAAATTATCACAAGGATCAAATAAATAAGTCAATTTCAGATTAGCATCTTAGATGCTTAAGAAGTTGATTGTTTTAGGTTCAGATGGCCATGTATTTTTAACATCGGATCTAATATTTTATAGAGGAATAATGAAATTTTACTTAGGTAACTATAAAAAAGCTATGGATTTATGGACAAAATCATATGGGTTAAAATAATAAATAAAAGAATTTAGTCAATAATCTAATAATTCGTTAATTTCATAGTAAGAACAATAAGAGAGATTAATTAGTGAATTAGATGAGTTGGAATTTGAGGATAGAACATATAATATGTATGAATACTATTACAATGTTGCTATTGCTACAATATTAGTAATATATATATTTTATCTAAGAATAAATAAAAAAGAAAAGGAAAAGAGTTATTGAATTAATTAGCCGATCAACTTTAGGAATCATTTGAAACTACAATTCGAGATTTTCTTGCAGCATTAGACTCAACTTAAACTAAAAGTGCAACCATTTTTCCCTATTCAAATAGATTATGCTGCATTTTCCCAACTTTAAAAATTGGGAATTTAGAAACCAGACTTTCCTTTTGTTTGCCTAGAATAACTCCTCCATCTATGAATCCAGAATTTGATAATAAATTAATTGAAGGAATTCAAGTAATTCTAATTATTCGATTACAATAGTATAGTCTACAGACGTGGACAACAAACCGGAGGCACCATGGATTAGAAGAAATCCTGATGGAGTGATATTTACAGAAAATGTACAATAGGTTGAATTAGATTTAAGAAGCGAAAGCTAGAAATCATAAATTGATCACAATTAAGAAGAAGAAAATGATGATGACAATTCAGAATAGTAATTTTATTAATCCTATATCTAGACATTAAATTTCCATTAATGATGATAAAATCACTATAGAATAACGACATTAGGATGATTCAACAACATATCAAACTAACTATAAAAAAGATATTGAATTACTTAAGTAATAACTGAGACTTGATAGAATTGTTGAACAACGATTAGCAAAATTAAAATGAAACCTATATATATCATATATCAATTTATATTTAAGATATGTTAAGTTGATTATAACGATCCCTGATATCCTACATAGAATCAAATATAAAGAATATGAATACATAAAGGAAGTATATTTGAGGAGATAAAAATTCATCTTTCAAAATTTTATACAGTCTTACAAATTTAGATATTTATACTAAACTTGATGTAAAGTTTAATTTAGAAGAATTAGGTTAATAATAATTATTAAATAAAAATTTAATGGAAAATACTATTAGTTTTAATTTAACAATTATTTTTTCTAAAATGATTCAAATTTGAAATGAAAATATTATAATGACTTAGTTTCCTGTGTTTAGAAGTTATTAACTATTCTTTTTTCATTCAAATCTTCTTAAATTAAAAAAAAATATTCATTTTTACAAAGTATTATATTGATTCTAGACAATATGATTGATCATATTTATTTCAAAGGTCATTTACAATTGAATTATGGCCATCAATTTAATTCTAATTCATTTATTTTCTTTAGAAGTTTATTCTCAAATATCCTCATAATCTTCTTGGTGCTTGTATTATTATTATTCCTATTACCAAAGTTCAAGATCTTATTCTTCTTCTTTTTTTTTTGATATTTTAATGCATGTCATAATATTGATTCCATTATTTATATTATATAGCCGATGGATAAAACCCATGCTGATGCTATTTTTCTTACATCATTATCAATTATTCTTAATCATAATGATTATTAATGTTTCTAGATGATTTTGGCACAATTAATTCTCTCAATTATTTGAATATTTTTGAAGTTTTTTCATCATAGATGAAGTCATTATACCTTCAAACTATTAAAGAAATATTGTTTAAGTTGTATGTTCTTATAGAGACCAATGTCCAGTTTTCATATGTTCTTTTTTTTTGGCTACTTTACTTATTAATACAATCCTTTTGATTTTTAAGTTTGTCGAGACCCTTCCTATAATCCTAAAGCATCATAATTTGAAATAATATCAGACTAAAGTTGAGGTAAAGGGGTCCCTTAACAATAATGATAAATTTATTAAGGAACAGCTTATTATTTA